CGCTGACTGCCTGCTGACCCCGGCTCTCGCACCGGCACGGCAGATTTATCGTCCCCGGGAGGGGAAGGCCGGGCTGGGCCAGAGCCGGGGCCTCGCTCAGGCACCACGGGAAAAAACAAAGCAGGAGGCAGCGATAACCCCGGCCCTGGCCCTGCTCAGGCAGCTCTGGCTGCGGTCTGTTTTTTTGGATGGGACACCAGCCAGTGCCTGCTGCCAGCCTGTCCCTGCTCAAACCCCAGTGGGACCCCCATCCCCTGGGACCCCACCCTGTGCTGTCACAGCCCTTCTCCTCCAGATAAAGAGGTCAAACGGAAGCAGATGACGCAGCTGGGGGAGCTGGGAGGGCGGCACAGCCACAGCACAGGCTGGGAATTGGGTGCCTCCTTCTCCCTGCCCACCACCCTGCTGCCAGTGCCCGGCCAGGCACAGCAATGGCATTTGTCCCACTGCAGCAGCTGTTTTTGAACACACAGGGAGTAGACACATTCCCTGAGACAGGGCTGGGGCTGTGCTGATGCAGGAGACACAGAGGCCCGAGAACTGACAGAAGTTTATTGTACAGAGGGCAGAGATCTCCCCATTCCCAACACATCGCCATGCTCAGAGCACCACAAGGGAGCAGGACCAAGACTTTCAGCTCCCCCTGTCACCGTTCCTGGGTGGGATGATGCAGGAGGGGATCTCCAGAGAGCTCCATGGCTGCTGTAGTGCATTGTGGTGTGGGGCTGTGTTGGGGCCCATCAAGAGCCACAGGGGATCTGGAAGCAGAGCAGCAGTTCTTCCTCTCACTGGCAGTCAGCCTGACCTCATCCCGTGGCACTCAGGTCCAAACTTCTACTTTCACACCATGGAAGAAATCAAACCTGAGGAGACACAGATGAAACCAGGCCGAGAGTATTTTGTGGTGCAGGAGCCAGGCCTGGCGAGAGCTGAGGAGTTTCAGCCTCTCTCCATCTCCACACACGGCTCCCTGCCCGCTCTGCCACCGAGCTCTGGGTACCTTGAGCAAATCCATGGGGTGGCAAACCTGACCCTCCGGTGAGGAGCAGCAGGTGCAGGAGGGAGGCTGGTGGAAGCAGTGCAGGTGTCAGGGGAGTCCCCAGCTCCAGGGCACCGCCTTTGCCCAAATCACCCTTTATTAACTCTTTTCGGCCCGGTTCCTGTTGAGCACGGCCCGAGGGGCGAACTCCAGCTTGTCCTTCAGGCTCACCACCTTGGTCAGGTCCTCGCCCACGATCTCCTGCAGCTTGCGGTCCTCCCGCTGCTCCGAGATGCTCTTCTCCTCCTGGGCCGTGGCCGGGGGGTCTCCGCGCAGGAACCACTCCAGCTGGGAGCCCACCAGCCCCACCACGAAGGCCACCGGGAAGGTG